TTATATGCATAAAATGTTTGGATTGATTACAAGGTTGATTTGAATTGATTCTTGAATTGTTGAACTTATGGCATCTAGGAAAAATTCTTCTGGTAATAGGCTTGATGTGGGATGGCAACATGGTATAGATATTGATAAGAATTCTAGAAAAGTTCAATGCAAGTATTGTCAAAAAATTATCAGTGGAGGTATTTTTCGTTTTAAACAGCATTTGGCTTGCACTCGTAAGGATGTTGAACCATGTCAACAAGTACCAGAAAATGTTAAGCAGATGATTTTAGGTGTTTTGGTGAAAAATCTAGAAGCAACTAAAAAGAAAAGAAAGGCCCATCAATATAGTGTAAATGATGATGATGATGATGATGAAATAAAAGAAATTAGCTCCAAGGACAAAGGAAAGAGAGTAGCTAGTAGGAGTGGAAGTACACAAACAACCCTAAATTAATTGCAAAAATAAATAAATATTAGAGCAGAAGCATGTCGACAAATTGCAAGGTTTTTTTTACACTAGTGCAATTCCATTTAATTGTGTAAAAAACCCTGAGTTTCTTAAAGCACTTGAATTGGTTGCAAAGCATGGGCCAGGTTTCAAGCCTCCATCCTACCATGATATTAGAGAGAAGTATTTGAAGCAAGAAGTTGACCAAACAATGAATTTGCTTGAGGATTATAAGCTAGAATGGAAAAAAATTGGTTGTTCAATAATGTCTGATGGATGGACAGATAAAAAAAGACGTTGTATTTGTAATTTTTTGGTTAATAGTCCTAAAGGGACAGTTTTTTTGTCATCGGTGGATACTTCTAATATGTCCAAAACTGCTGATAAGGTATTTGAGATGTTAGATGCCATTGTGGAAAGGATTGGGGAGGAAAACGTTGTCCAAGTAGTCACCGATAATGCTGCAAATTATAAGGCAGCGGGACAATTATTGATGGAAAAAAGAAAGAGTTTGTTTTGGACACCATGTGCTGCCCATTGTATTGACTTGATATTAGAGGATTTTGAGAAAAAGTTAGAGATTCATCAAGTAACTATTGCTAAGGGGAGGAGAATCACTTCATATATTTATTCAAGAACTATTCTTATTTCCATGCTAAGACACTTTACGAAAGGAAGGGATTTGATTAGGCCTGCTGCCACACGGTTTGCTACTGCATATTTAACTTTGGGATGTTTGAATGATCATAAAATACAGTTGATGACTATGTTTACTTCCAATCAGTGGAGTTCATGTAGGTTTGCAAGAATAGAAGAAGGGAAACGAATTCAAAATTGTGTTTTGGACAGCAGGTTTTGGCATGATGTTACTATATGTATTAAGGCAGCGTATCCTCTAATTAAAGTTCTTCGATTAGTTGATTCTGATAAGAAACCAGCTATGGGTTTTATATATAAAGCAATGGATGAAGCAAAAGAGAAGATACAAGTGAATTTTGGTTCTGTGAAGAAAAGGTATATATCTTGCTAATTTCTATTTTAAATGTTGTCATCTATTAATATGAATGTCTTTAGAGATACTTTCAATTGAGATATTCCTTGAGTGTAATGATATTTTTATTGTTTTTTTT